TGCATCATGAATACGAATACCTACTGTACATTCAGTACAGCCAAGGTGTTCAGTGCTGCTTGCCAGAGTTCCGGTGAAGGGAGAGAGAAAGAGAGAGATCGAGAGAGAGGCAGCGAGAGTACTTAGACACTTACCAAATAATCCCTCTCCTCCATCTTGTGCATGTGAGTCCCTGCCCAATGTGAAGTTGGATTTGCATGCATCGAGACTTCCCCAGATCTCCCTAATATCTCACCCGACAGGAAGCAGTCAATCCTGGAATGTACTTACCTACCTACTGTACATATCCTAAGGTACCTACATTTAAGATGATGTAAACGACTGTAATAGCGGTACTCAGGTACTTTCTCATGTACTTAAATCGATTCTGCCCTTACATGTGCAAGTACCTACAGTACGTCTCTTTGTACATTGCAGGTAGCGAGGGTAGTAAGTATGCCCACTGTCCAAAGGAATGATATCTCATTTGCGGTTCAATCTAAAGATCGCCGTAAGCGGTAAGAAGATGCAGAAGAGAGGACTATCATTGGTCTTCCGATCCGCTTGGGTCGCGGAATGGAGTCATTTATAGTGTGCAGTAGCGTCTCTAACCGTTGGAAGTGTAACCTTGATCCATACCTGCCTAAACCTCACCTTTTGCTGCTGCAGTACATAGGGCAGATAGGGTTGGTGATGTTTACGCCAAACGGAGCCTACTCAGGAATCAATAACAGAGCCCAAATACCTTTCTACAAGCACGTCCATCTGAGCCCGTCGCTTTACATCCTTCTGTTTGCATGTTTCTCGAGGCTGAAGAGTACATTTGGGTACTCGACAAGCGACTTGCTGAGGATAGCTAGGCGTAGAATATGCGCCTAGACAAGCAAACTTGTTTGCTCTGCTCGGTCTGTCAGACAGTGTATACATAGTACCTTAGGTATGGATTGCATATACCCGAGAATGGGCAGATGGCGTCTGCCTGGTGTTATTTGCGCCGGTACGGGTAGAGGACCTGTACCAATAAAACCAGGGGGAGATAGGCAGGTAGGTAGAACTTGTAGGGAGTTGGGGTGTTAAGGTGTTACCAGTTATCCATCCTTACAAGCCATATTCTACCTATCTGATTTTGACTGAGATACCTACATAGATTGGGCAGAGGCTGGGCAGACTGGGGGAGCGTTGATTCTGGCTGTCCGGGATGTGACCCGCCACGAGGAGTGCTCGCACAGTATATACGTATACTCGCGGGTGGAAGACATGTACACGTTAGGTTTCACTGAATTTCTTATGTCATTCATCTGCGAACGGCTGGTCAGAACGCAGGCCATTTACGACTTTACGACTCGCGACGCGCATCATTATCCTGTACAATACTAGCACACGAGGCACACAAGCGAGACAAGTTCGTGCAATTTCTCGAGCGACCACACGCTTATCTCCCCAAAGCGTAAAGTATAATGTAGATTACCGGGTTGTACACGGCGATCCAAAACAGAGTTCCCGCAATTATGTCATGACCTGCTGCCAACTCGCATACACCTACTCTGCACCTACATACATATTGTATGTATGTAACTGTATCCAGATTCTGCCAGATTATAAGGTCCTTCGGTGGTTGCGAGGTCACGCAAGAACCTCAAAAGGGGATAGGAGTATGTGCGTACGTCCTGCAAGGGCGGTGGACGGATGAATAGTGTGTAGATAATGACGCCCGTCAAAAGATAACTAAACAGATTGGATGTGGTAGCTGACTGCGCTCTGCCCAGGCAGACTAAGGAATCGACGGTGGAAGGAGAGATGGTTGGGAATTGTTATCTTGCCTATATGTGTAGCTTTCTTTTTCCTATCAATAGGGCGAAGTTAGCTGGAGTCCATATGTGTCAATGCCTTTGCAGCATCAATACGTGAATTGATTATTCAAGTCCAGATAATCGGGGCATTTACACTCTCATCCTAGGTATTCTCATCCCATTGTATTCACTCACCGCGAACCTTAGAAGGCTACATATGTACCTAGGAGGCGAACCACATTACCGGTATTCGCGCTGTGATCACACGCCGTCACTCGAGCAATCACCAACCCGTCCATCATTTCCGAACGCTACCTACCTACCTACTTTAAGCACGCACTGCGACCTTCCATCTGACAGACAGCCCGTCCCGTCATTCTTGTGTGGTAACGAATGCTACGGTAGCCTGAGTCAGAGCCAACAAACGAGCCCGATAGGACCAGTGCAGTCGCTGTAACCTCCCCCGGTGACTCAAAGTACAGTTCCTCGCATTTGAACAAATGCATGGCGAGAGGGAAAACCGACCCATGAATTGAATCACGGTTCGCACACTTGTCTCTCAGCTTCGAGTATCTTCCCCGGCTTCTTCAGTATTGCTGCGCACCCCGATTTTTGAGGCGAAAGCAATTCGCCACCGGTCCTTGTCTCGGTCCACATCGCCACGGCGCCGCAACGTTCAACGGGATAGACGGTTATCCTCGCACGCCGGACTGGCATCTGAATGCGACAACGGCAACGACATAGAAACGTGACCATCGCCGCTCACCGTCAGTATCACAGCTTCTATTTTCACCGCCCAGGTCTACTACGCGAGTCATTCCTTCGCTTGGCACCAACCGGCGCCACACTTTCTAGTTAGACACCTATATTTGGTATCGTGGGCGAATATTCCAAGTCCGGGCCGGCCGGCTTCTGAAGTTCTACTCTACGACGGACCCTAGCAGCAACTTGACTGCTCGAGTTCGCCAAAGACCGAAAAGAGCAGATCCACTGCCCCATTGGCCATTTCTGCATCCACTTACCAACCATTACATACTTCGTACACGACTCAACACATACATTTACACCTCTGCCTAATCCCCGGTGAGCGTAGACTCCGGTAGTTGCTGAGCTCGTTCAGGACAAACCCCCGGAACGATACGTAACTGGCTCACTGGTGTATCTGGCTGATCCGCGCCAGGCGACATCTTTCTGTTCGTCCTGATTGCACGCCAGCAAGCCGCGCTATCCACATTGGAAGTCAGGTCTACTACTTATTCAGCTTGGTATCCACTACGATCCTCGACGGCCAGAGAACAAGAGACACACACTACACCACCTGCACTACAGTGTCGAGAGTGTCTGAGCCGAGCAGGTAGCAACCCTGTTTATAACCTGGCAAACCAAGTCTCCTGGTTCCTACCTAAGGTACTCGGGTACATACATACATCCGCAGGTAGGTAGGCGACCTTGGGCCCATTTGTAGTCCGCCACCAACGCCGACACAGCGGAAGGTTTGGACCTTAAAGTGAGCTGTGACACAGCTGGGCTGCATGGTTTGGACAGACGAGGTACCTTGTCGTGAGATCGAGATACATGCTAGGGCAGGTACAAGGATACCTGAATCCCACAACGCCGTCGCCGTCTTGCCATCACCATCACCACCTCATTGTCTTGTTCACCTACAGTACCTATACCACTTAATGGTAGGCAAGGAACGTTCGCGATCGTAATACGGCGAGGTAGTGCTATCACCGGGATCCCGTCGACCTATAGTACCAAGCACCAGTATCTCTTGCCGCCAACGCTTTCCCCGAATCTGTGCTCTATCAGCAGCTCCTGATATCTACTAACATTCCCCAAGCTCACACCTAATATCTACGTGCTCTATCAAGTTTTCTTCAAGTCTGGGGATTCGCCAATTCGCTTGCTGATTCCCCTTCCTGTCAGCTGATCAGTGCTGTCCCGATCGCGCGTTCCAACTGTCTTCGGAATATCCTACATCCCTGACTCTGTTTCCTGGTTTGTTCTTTATCCAAGGGTAATCCTCTCGAGGCGGTCCAATAGCAACGGGCCTGACGAGCCGATAATAGGATATATCCCACTGTTCGCACTACTGTGTACGCACACAATCACACACGCACCGCACCGCACACACATACACGCGAAGCGCGTGCGCAGGGCTGTCGCACGCACCTTATCTGCACGCCCATTCCGCATCCCCTCCTGGCTCCTGTCCTGACGGCCTACTCCTCGTTCTGGTGTTGTCTCCCGAGAGGAGGCGTCAGAAGCGTTGTGAGCGTCGGTCTCTCTCTGCTTGCTCCAAGAGCTCACCAAGAATTACCCACGAATCGACAGCGTGCATCGCGCGATCCACCCGTCCCACCAATCCACCTGTCCATCTGCACTATCCACGACCCTGCCACGACCAGGTAGTGACACTGCGCTACCACCGCTGCAATCCACACTTCCGTCCACACCACGCTGCGCTATTCATACACGCTACGCTCGGGACACACACCTGTATATACGGTGTACTTGGGTACTTTTGTAGTGTTTGGTGCGGTACAGCGCAACAGCCCTCGAAGCATCTGAGTCTCTAATACTCCTTGCCTACTTACCTACACATAGGTACCTCCAACCATGAGCCAGGGCTTCTTTGGAGGCAGGTGGTTTGCTGCTGGGCCTGCTGGCCCTGCTGGAAGTGCTGGCATTAGCACCGACAGCAGCCCAAGCACCAGCACCAGCACACAGCCAGCCCGCTGGACCGACTACAACAAGTGCCACTCGTCACCTTCCAGCAGCCGGCGCGGGACCGACGAAACGAAGTCCAAGTCCAAGTCGCAGGCCCAGTCACAGTCGACGATCCAAAATAATCATCCTAACCACCACCACCACGCTACCCATAATAATATTTCCCATCCCTCCTCCTCATCCACCAACACCACCTCCTCTTCTTCTTCCGCTGTCGCCGCCGTTGTCGCTGCTGCTTCAACCGCCGCTCCCACTCCTGCGTCTTCGCACTCTCTCACATCCCCTTCCCCCTCGCCACAGCCGAGCACTCCTGTCGATCACTTTGGTCTGACGGATCGCATTAACTCCCCTTGCCTGTCATCTAAGCCCATCCGCATCCCCGGCCCACCTAACGACTGCAACTCACATTCCGCATCCTTCGACCCTGCCAACGACCTTGAATTCGAGTTCTTGGCTCCCTGTGACGACTACGGCTTTTCCAACGGTGCTGACGTTGATATGACTACCGGCCCAACACTGGACTCGGCCATTGGCCGCAGTCGCCAGGACTCATTCGTGAGTGCCGGCCCCAAGCCGATTTCTATGATCAACCCGAACCGCGAAAATGCGAATCGGGGACGGCGTGAAAGCCTGGCCGGTAGTTTGATGAACGGGATGAGTTGGGGTGGCCTTTCCGTCGGAAGTTTCATTAGAGATGAGTAAGTTAAACATCGTCCGATCTGGCCTTTACGTTTCGAATCGAAACGTGCAAGACATGTATCAGTCTTAGACATCTGCCCTACAAGCAAGCCTATGTCTAGGTCATTGTAACTAACAATGTGTCTCACAACAGCCTTGCGATGACCGGCACCTCACCATTTGCTGGCGTAGCCCAGTCCCCTTCGTTTCACTCAAATTCGTACATCCCCAAAATGGAAGCCGAGTATCTGCGCGACTTTGTATGCTGCGATCTCAAGTTGGACACAATGCACGACCTGCTCCGTCACTATGAAACAGTTCATACTGGAGCAAATGGGCAAGGCAATCGAAACGGTAGTGGTGTTCGCATGCCTCATAGGCTCTCCGTCAGCAGCAGGCCTTCTATCTCCATGGGCTCTGGCCGTCCTGATTCTCAGGGCTTCCAGAACCAAGGTCAAATGAGCTTTGGTCAACCTAACCGGATAGCGGGCACCAACGGTGCTTCCGGCATGGGCTTTGGAAGCATACACGGGGGTCGACAATCGATGGGCATGGACTCTGGCAAGCAATCCCAGCTGAGTAGTATGCAATCTAATGATGACATGGACGCTGTAGGTGATATGGAGATGGATGACGCCGTTGGGATGATGGAAATGGACGATAGCAGTCACAGAACCATCCAGCAAACCCGCCAGATGTTTGGGCAGCAAAGACCTCAGCTGCAGCTAAACAGCTCGGGGCTACCGCAAGCCTTGCGAACGTCACAGCCACCAACGCCAGGCGCCTCAGGGTTCGGTTACCAGAACAACCCAACAGTGTCGTCTGTGAACACACCTACCCTCACGACCAACCACTCCAGCTTAGGTGGCACGCCAGATGGTGTCATGGACAGTTCCGCGCTTGACTTCATGGATCTCAACAGCGCGGTCGGAAATTTGAACAGTCCGGCGTTGTCGGAATATTTCATTCAAGATCCGGCGAAGAGGTTATATAGCCCGAACGGTACTTCGGCTAACCAGCAGCGGGCGCTTCAGCAACAAATGGCGCAATTTGGTCTGGATCAGAGTCAATTTCCCAACATCACTGACCCTACTCATCTAGCTGCGTTGCAGAGGGCCATTGCGAATCCAGAGACTTTCACCATGCCACCAGAAGAGGACAAACCGTTCAAGTGCCCCGTGATTGGATGTGAAAAAGCTTATAAGAACCAGAATGGGTTGAAGTAAGTTCTTGTCCGCAGTGTCACCCGTGTGTTTGATTTTGGTGTAGGAATGTGTACTAACCGATTATAGGTACCACAAACAGCACGGTCACCAGAATCAACAGCTTCACGAGAATGGTGATGGTACCTTTTCAATCGTTAATCCCGAGACTTCCGCGCCGTACCCTGGCGAGACAGGAATGGAGAAGGAGAAGCCACATAAGTGCGAGTATTGTCACAAACGTTATAAGAACTTAAATGGGCTGAAATACGTAAGACTTCTTTGTGCACTATGGATACCCGCATGACACACACATTAAGCTAACCTTCTGCATAGCACAAACAACACTCATCAGCTTGCGAAATCCAGGCCCAAGCGGCAAGCATCCGAGCGAATCTGTCCAATAATCAGATGAGTTTCAATATGGGCAACATCACGCACGGGTTGCCTGGTATAGGTGAGGAGATGCAAATGTAGAAAATCGCATCTTCTTCTCCACTCCAGCGATAAATCCACCTTTTCAATATGGCCTTGGGCAGTGTGCAGCATTGCGCATTGTTCAACGCCAACTGAGCCAGCAACTGAAAGGCCCTTTCATCTGTTATTGCTACTGAATCAGCATCTGTTCGTTTGTAAGCCGGGTTTAGGCTATCCTCCAACCTCGATGCCGGTTATTTCGACTGTACACCATAGACTTTCGCCACACATAGACCGGATACCCCTTTCAACCTCTTTTTCTTTCATGCTTTAAATTCTGGGTTTCGGGAAAAGTTCGCATTTCTCACTTCGGGCGTTCCACTTTTCTTTTTAGCATAATGGTCTACTTACGAATCAGCTCTCTGCTTGCGCCCTTCGATTAGAGGGCGATCAGATCTACACTCGCCATTTTGCGAGAGTTGAGCTACGATTTACGAAGATAAAAATTGGGATGGTAGTTGCAATCGCCCGTCAACATCCATCTGTACCAAATCATACCTTCAGGAAAAGGAATTGAATGGGATAGATAAAAAAAAGTGTGGAATGCTGGATAATGAAGCAGAAAACGTCGGGTGGCGGGAGAATGGATATAGCGATGCTACTGTTTCGATTACACTACTACGACACATCTCCGAATATTTCACACGATAGATCTCGGGACAATCTCCCTAGTGAGTGTCCCAAAGCCCCACGGCTCGTTGATGGCGAAAAGAAGCGTTAGGCTCTTTTCATCCATGTTGCGTCCACGCTGGACTTGGCTTCTGTCATCTCAGTTCTACAGCCAAAGAAATTCAAAAGGTGCTTAGAACTAGAGATGCCTAAAGTTTGATACGTTTATATAATCGGGGGCCATACCCCATTAAGCACTATTCTTGAGTCGGAAATCGAAATCAGCGCTGATATTACATGACTCTGGATGAAAAGGGAGGAGTATCGTCGGATCGGACCTGATACTACTATTGTTGGAATCTGTCTCGCAGCATTGGTTTCGGTGGCTGGCTCTCACTGCTTGTGTGGGATAGATACCTTCCGTAGCATAGACTCGGTAGCGTTCTGATAGCTCAACCCTTGAATGTTTACAGTTTTGTAGCACTTTTATATGCCTTGAAAAGTTATAATATGTCGATTGTAGCTTTTGATTCCGCCTGTTCTTCGTGAGATTTGATTGAACCTTTTACCCCGACTTTATATACCTTATATGATGTACGAATGCGGGTGAGGATGTTGTCTGAGCGAATTCGACTAGTAGGACGTGAACCATGAGGAGGATGATACTGACTGGTGCGTTTGCAAACAGGAGGTCGTTATCTATCTAAATAAGGATGTAGGTGGCTCACGTAAGGAATGCATGTGGTGGGAAAAACTCCAGCCTCGTGTCATAACCAATAGACGTGGATGAGTACCTAGGTATGTACAAGTATTTAATATTCTATTTATCTTTTATGCGTAGGTAGGCTAGGAGATGGATGTTACTGAGTGAGTGTCCGGGGTCTTTACCCCGTCGGATTCTTGCTTATCTACTCGTTTGTTTAGAATACTTCCACATTTCTTTTCATATATTAGGTAAGTAGGTAGGTAGGTAGAGCGCATGTGAACTCGAGTCGCTAGGAATAATGATCTCCAATTGTAGCATATAGATAGGTATGAATAAACAAGGAAAGCCCTATGCGCCGATCCGAATCGAGTTGAATCAACCCATTGGCCTTAATATGTATACAATATATACATATAGTCTTGCAAAGAAAGAAAAGTTAAAAGGGGAAGGAGGTGATGCCTACACTAATGGACTCTTATTGCTTTCGATTGCCCTTCATACTAGGTAGAGACTAAGGCAAGGAGGGACGGCCGACAGATTGATATGAATGCAGATGATACAAGCGAAAAAAAAAAAAAAAAAAAAAAAGGCCAGCCGCCATCATCACCGTCGTCATCCGCGCGACAGTCCATATTTCGAACAACCCATCTATGAGCATGCAAAATCATTTGCTTTAGCCAATGAGACAGTTCCACAGCATCCACACAGACATCGCCAGAATTTATAAAAAGCATAATGTATCATTTCGACATGTAGTTACATGAACCGTGTATGTACGTACCACTCTCACTCAACGCCATCCTACAGTACAAATTGACTAAGGGTGTTTGTTTGTTATCCTCCCCCCCCCCCCCCACCCCCAGCATGACATT